AATAATGCTCACCAGCAAGAACGGGTATCTGAAAAGTTAATCTTGAAATTGGACATCCTAACAATAATTAAATGCTGGAAAAGCCTATAGTGAAAAAAAAAGTATGGACCATCACTTTCAGTACTATCTTGACATGATTTAATCCAACTTCTGAGCTCCTGTACAGCAACTGCTCAAGCCTAAAGTCTGCAACTCTAGTCACACCACTTCTCTGATGCTGTTTTATGTAAATAAAATTAAATTGTGCAATTAAGTCATCACAGGATGTTTTCCCAATGTTTTCCCTTACCCGGTGAGAGGGATTACTGTTAGACCTTAGATACCGGATTAGCACCAGTACAGAGATACCATCTACTGTATGCAGGATGAGTCAGGGGACAAGAGCTAATGAAAAGCAGCTGAAGTCATAGCAGAGAACTCCCTACACAATTCAAACACTATAAAATAAAGATGAGAACCTGACAGAGCCTTCGAAGGCTCCTTTCTAAATTTCAGAAGCTTTTATTGCTCATTTAAGAGATCTATGCAGTATCTGCATTGTTTAAATATCTTTTAAGAAATCATATCTTAAAACAGTATGTTCACTGCAGTAGTGGCTTGTTGACCCATTTCCTGCACTGTGTGAATTGAAGAATTCAGGAACTCTATGGTTTCCTCTATCGCCTACTTCTACTTTAACCACAACTGCAGCATAAAAGAAACCACCTGCTCGTAAGAAAAGCCAGGATTTATCACCAAATAAAGCCTTTTGGGGCTACAAACACGACTGCACGAACTGCAACTAGAATCTGCATGTTCAAAGTTGAAGTTTAAGCTCCTCATGATGGCATCATTTAACATTAACATTAGCAATGAACAGGGAAAGCTGAGTCAAAAGGGAAGAYGGGCATTTCAGTACCCAATCATCCATCTCTCATATTGTTCTAGGTAGACTGAGGTATATATCAGCATATGTCTTTGTACAGTTAGCTGCCTCAGGATAAATATTAAAGATGAAGCTGCATCTACACCTACACCCCTCAGGTAACCAACTGATGCCATTAGTTTGAGCAGTTTATATCCAAATTTTCAAAACCAAACAAATAAGCACTTACCACTGAGTTTTACCAAGCAAAGCTACTAAAATTATTCTGAAACCCCAAACTCCAAGTTCACAACAGCACTGAAATTTATATACAAGAAGATCTTATTCTGTTAGTRGGCAATAAACTGCTTCATAAAACTACTGAATGGCAGGGGAGAACAAACCTGCGATAAGTTCTAGCACACAAACATCACTGACAGCTAAAACTGTGATAATCAGACAGAAATTTTATCAGCTCTATTACAGATTCAGTGAAGAAGAGCAAAACAATCATCCAAAACCTCACTCTAAAAATTTGTACAGACCCTAAGAGATGGACCCAAAATATACAGCTGAAGTGGAAACGTTACTGTTCTGCTATACCCATACCTAGCTTCTAAACTGCCTGATTGCGATCAGTCTGTGCTAGTCTTACTAAACCCCAACACACATTAGGGCAAACCCTTTAAATAAAGCAGGGATTATCTCCTACCAGCATTATGCTGCACACTAGATGGGCAGGGCAGTGCTAAACTCTACTTTTCTAGGGTAAAACTACAAGTTCACTTTTTAGAAGCCAGAGTAATGACTTTGCCAAGAATGACAGAAATGCATCTATTCCACGTATATTGTGTTTCCCCCTGCAACACAGTTTTGCTGACTGGGAACATTTTAAGAAATCCCTACGTTGAAAAAACTGCCAATCTATATCAAAATACCGTATCTCACTTAATAAGTTATGCAACACAATTGCCTATAAAATAAAATAAAAAAAAGAATACAGTTTACTCTTTACTCTTACCTTTTTTTTTTAAAAAAAAAAAAGCTTTCCAAAGCAGCTGCATGTCCAAAGAAATTTTTTCCCATATTAACCAGTCTAGTAAGAAATCTGTCTACAGTGTTTGCCTCTGACTTAACACGTTATGATTTTCATGTCAAAGCAGCATCAGAAATAAGACATAAAGCAGTTCCCAAACATTTCATTTTCAACAGTTTTGATGTTATTGCACCTTAAAGCAAGACATTCCATCATCTTTGTTTAGAGTAAAAGAATTAAGTCATTCTTTGAAAAGGCAGGAAAGAAACAGAACAAATCTGTAGAAAGAACGATAGAGCAGTAGATTAAAAACTTAACACTGCAAATCTATTTCTGATGATGCCACTAACGGCATCTTGTAAACTTGCCACTTCTTTTCCCCTTCCAAAATGAACATGGATCATGACCTATCACACAACTGTCAAAGCATTTTTTAAAATATTTTAAAAGCTGACAACATGTTATAGGTAAATGAATTCARAATTAACACCTTAGAAACTGTTTGTTACGGTGCTCTTTACTTCTACAGCAAGASCCAGCAAGAGTTTCTGGCAAAGAGCTGAACACATTTTCAATCTCCTGCCTAGCACAGATTTCAAAGGCAGCGCCACTGTCTTGAAACTGCAACATTCACTGGAAAACAGATCCTTCAACAAGCAAAACAAACACATTGGAAAACTGGTGTAATGGGCATGTGCAGCCTGCACTGATGAAGTTTCCACCCTAGCTTTGTGTTTCCACTTAGAGACTACTTCATCCACACATGTAACCATAAAATTGTGAAGATTTTGGAAGAGTTAGGAACATTGGCTCCATGATGCTCATTTGAAATACTCAGACATAAAATAAAGCCACCAACAGTGCTTCTTGCACATGTTCCGGACTGTAACATACCATCATATTTTTAATAGTTGCCTTTATATATATACACACATGTATCAACATGTATCAAATATCAGAATGTCTCCCGCTATCAAAAGATGATAATATGTTCCTCACTGCTGCTAAAGTCTTCTAATCTACCCAGCTGTTAGATAAAATATTTTCTGTTTTCATCAACTTCAGAATGAGGCAAGCAGCAGTTATCAAGACTGATGATAAAAGAGGTTTTTTTCCTACTATTCATACTAGGTTGAGGGGGAAACGCCAGGAGTTTATTAGGCGATTTTTAATTACACGCTAGATTTTGAACAGAACTCCCAATCCCATATCAGACAAAACCAAATTCAAGTTCTGCAGAGTTATCTAGGATTTTCCATTGACGATCACAATTCTGAATCTGCTTCTTAAAATAATACAGAACTGCCTTCCATTAATATCTGAGAAGTTTCATCACTGGCCGCAAGAAGACTTTGTACATATATTTACAAAATACGTGTGTGTGCGCGCGCGCGTGTGTGTGTATATATGTTTCTCCATTTCTTGGAGAAATGTACAGATTTCAGAAAAAGAGTCTTATAAAATTGTGTCATACTAAGTGCTCCTTAGAATCACATCCCAATTTTTAGTCTAGACTCTGACACTTGATCCTTCTGGAACTGTTTCCTATACATTCCTGCTTCAAGCACTTACAACCCATGCTCTGCCACAGGCTTTTAAAATACACCTCCTCAAAGATGATGGACAACTTCCTATGTTATAAAGCTTGCAGCCACGAAATGGCCCCAATGGGACGTAGAACAGAACACTAGAAATCATGCAGCTAACCACAGAACGTTACTGAGGAAAGACAAGGTGGCAGTATAGCCTAAGCCCAGCCATCCTTCTGCTGAAGGAAAGGAATTAGCAGTCAACGATAGAAAGGGCTAATAAAAACCAATAGCCTAACTCAGAGCTGTAAAGATGTAAAATAATTCCTTTTAGATAAATGGTTACATTCCATTTATCCTCTGGGACTGTTCAAAGCCACCCAAAATCAGATGACTCTGTCTAATACTCTCTCCAAACTCAGCATTTTATTTGACTTAATTATGAAGGAAGTTCTCTCTCTCGAGCTACAGGAAAGAGCTTGAAAACATGTCGCAAAAAAGCCTTGCAACTCATAGCCAGAAGCTAAACAACGTGATGAAATTAAAGCACCTCCTGCTACTTTGACCATAACTTGGGAGTTTACATGTTCAGATTAGCAAACCTGAGGATATATCTATTTGTCTTTCATCTGCCATGTGAAGGGGCAGTGGGAGAGCAGCTTCAAGAGCGTTTACAGCTCACTGTTTTGCAAGGCTGCAAGCAGAGCAAACAGAGAACATGCAGGGCCAGCCGTAAGAACATCTGCATTTTGTAAACAAGGCTAATGAAAAGAGCAGTTTTCTGCTCCCTCATCTCCCTCCCTGTTTAGGATTAGCTGACAAGTTTGTATTCTAAACTCACTAAAGTACACTTTTTTTTTTTGTTTGCTTGTTGCAGAGACTTCAAAACGCCCAGGATCACATCAATTTATATCTTCCAGGAAGATGGAGTTGTCTGCAGTGCCACTAACTGCCTATCGCTCTCCTGCAACCTTCTTGCGCAAAGAAAAGGAAAGACAAAGCAAAAGAGGAGAACAGCACTGCTACCCAAAACAGCTAGCAATTTTTCTCATCTCTGCATGGCCATATTTTAAAAGAAATTCCTATACAGAGTGAGGAAAAAGTATTATAAATATGTGACAGGACATGTTCTATCTTGCAAACAACCTATGCTTTCTGTTTTCCATCAGTGCTTAAACAGCGAATGCTTTAGACCAAGAAAATCCAAACATTTATACCTTTACATCCCTGTTAGGCAATTTTTTTCATCATCCTACAAAAATTCACAAACACCTAGCAAACAAAACACACTGTATCTCAAGGAAAGCACAGTTCAAAACTTTTAACCTAAAACTGGGGCAGGACAAAGCATGACTGTGAGACAGCGACTAGGTAAAGACCTCTCCTGGTCTCCCGACGGAGACAACCCTCCCTACCCCTCTTTTTCCCTTACCCTTTTCTTATCCCAACAACGAATAGTGCCTTCACAAATAATTCAAGCCTACTTACTGTATTTTTTGGTCAACTGCTTTTAAAGCAGCTGCCCAACTAAAGAGCATTTTTAATAAAGTTTCCTGTTGCTACCTGAAGCAGCAAGCCACATGAACCTTACCTTTACAAGCTCGTTGTACTACCTTGCACAGCAAGGCTGACAACTCACAGAATTGAACAACTTCCTTGTTTTAGAGCACACAGCTATTATCTACTCAGCTGTTGATAACTGAGAGTTTTGGAGTCGGCTGTTGCTTTATACCTCAAGCCCATTAATATGGTTTTCCCAAGTAGATCATACATTCCCCAGTCCTTCCTATTTCACATTTTGCATTCCTGACTGGCAAATAAAATATTTATCAGCTTCGCTCAAAGCAATCTTAGCTTGCTGTGGCAACTGATTACAGAGGAATGCAGGTTCACCGCCAGCTCTGCTGCTTTACCCTGAAACAGGAGCAAAACAGAAGTTGGTTCAAGTGCAGAGATCCAACAAACCTCTCCAGGTTCCCACACCATTAGGCACTTCACGAGGCAGCAGGAATAAGCAGTGCTTCCTATCGGGCAAACTGCTGGGAGCAGAACAYGGAAGGACTGGAAGAGAAAGGGGAACACACGGTAGCACCGCAGCAAATCAGAACTACCTTCACAATACAGTTGGACTAAGAGGACAAAAGTCCAGAACTTTTAATGCTTACTTTATTGCTTCTTTCACAACCCTGTCATAAACTAGAAAGATATTTTAAAGGAGAGGTATCAAAACAAATTGCTCGAAAACACCACACTGCGTTCAGGTTCTGCTTCAGACTCCTCGGTCAACCAAAAGCAAGTGCCAAATCAGTGTCAACGCAGCCAGTTCACCTGAGAACACTGGACAGTCTTCAGAGCTTTAAAGAAATTAATTTGAAATCAATGCAATACTTCCAAGCTTCTTTTTAGCACGCGAGCTTTGGTAACCAATTTAGGTTGGCTTCTTTATTTTAAAGCTATTAGCTAAGCCTTTGTTTAGATACCTAATATTTAAGCATATGCTGAGATCAGTAATACAGATAGTGACCTTTATTCCACACTGCTTACTCTACATTACACCACTAAAAATTATYCAGCTCAGTTTATTTAATCTTAACCACTTTTCTAGTGCAAATTGTCTCGCCATGCCCATGTCAGTGCTCGGCTTGCCCACAGGAACTCTGAATGTGCCATCAATATTTACACATGATGAATGACAATCTGTAGCTGATCTTTGGAACCAAACCCAGGCCTCTGACACATGCACTTCTCTACTATTAATAAAAGCGAGAATTTTAACTAAGTTACTCTCKCAAAAACATGAAGTGGAGAGCACCTTTAGCATGTAATAGGGATTCATTAGCTATCAATCCAGCCTAAGCCTCACTGAAATTGATACGCAAGGTATGCAACCTTCATCAGCTGCCTACGGCCCTTTCTGAAGCACTATGATGGGAACAGGAATCCTTTAAAAATAAATGTCACRTGCAAACCTAGGCTGGGTAGAGGCAGCAGAGGTTTGTTGGGGACTGAACATAGTTGCAAGCTGGCAAGCAGTACACTACCATGAGGAAAACATGTCATCTTCTTGCTGCACTCATGGAAATAAAGACTTCCCTAACTATCAGTCTTAAAGAGAATTGACAGGACTAATTGAATCAATAATCAGTGTAGGGCCTGAACAGAATAAGCCAATCAGCCATGAAACCAACTACGAGTAAAAGCATAAAGGGCTGGGACAAAGCAAACACTAACAAGAATACGAAAGCAATGCAGAGAATAGACGAGGAAGAAATTAGAGTAAATAAGAGAGCAGCGGGGGGGTAACCGGGTTCATTAAAATGAAAAAAGCTTTTAACTAATGAATGAGAAGATTAGAAGCAGAAAGAAAGGATTTGGGTTGGGTGAATTTAGSTTTGCATTTATTTGTACAGATGTCTACTAGCACCACACTAAAAAAGTGTATTTTACTAACTGATGCAACTGATATGAAATGCAGGAGTTTTTTTTTCTTAATGCACTTTGAAGCTTAGGTGTCTTTTAGTTTGTGCTGAGCCTGAAGAATCTCCCCAGCCCTAACCAATCTCAAATGTTATTTGCTCAGCTTGGTAAGGAGCTGGATACATCTTGGTTTTGCATTCTTGTATTACTGAATTAGTCACCTTTTCCTGCAACATCACCCAAATACTCAGTGTCCATACAGCTGGCCAGACACATGTAGGGTATCAGTATTCACTGTTAACCCTCACAGATAAACTTCCCAACTCCACCCTCTTGCCATCCCCCAAAAGGCAAAGAAAAATGTTAAAGAATGCAGATGGTCATTCCACCCAGTAACATTATTACAGCTACCAAAGACCACACTAATTACATTCTTCCAGAGAGGCACTCGTTGTTGCCTCCCTCCAAGGTTTCATTACACTTTTGCACTCAAAACTACAAAACTATCTCCTTTCAAGCACAGAAAAAAAATCTTTATGCTAAAGGAACACTACTAAATATTCAGGRAAAAAAAATGACAATATTGCAGAAGAGGTAGAAAAGTAAAATTAGTAATGAATATTGTGGTGTTCTAAGCTTGYGAGTTTTTTTGTAGATACATGCGCTAGATGGATTGACTATGCATTCTTGTCTAAGTTTGAATCACAAGTCATACTGTAATTTGTCCCATATGGATAAGAACATTATTTTAACAGTAATTTTTCAAGAGCAAGAAAATTGAATTTTTCAAGAGCAAGGAGAACATAAGCTACAAGCAGTAAGAAACAATTAAGTAAAAAACCAATAACACCAACACATAATTCCCTATGTGGCTGTAACCTTGTTTTGCTAAATTCATGAGTCCCATCAAAAAGCTTTTATCAGCTCTCTCCCTTAAATGCACTGATATGAAGTCTCAGGAATTCAGGATCAAAATATAACTACCATTCCAAGTGTAGTAAAGAAGGAATTGAAAAATATTTACAAGCAAAATAAGTATGATATTTTGTAATAAAGAAAATTAAAAGAAAAAAAAGATGAAATTAACTTTGTCATATTACAGTCACCCATAAAGCTTAAGAGCAAAGAGCAGAGTACTATTTTTATTGGTAAAACAGGCACTCTGAATTTCTGCAAAACCTCAGTCAGTTTAACTGSCCACTTTGATAACTCCTGCTGAAAATCCCCCGAGGCACCCTTTGCTCTCAATGTCACCAGTTTTCTTACACTGCCAGAGGGGATCTCTCTTCTCCTGCCCCATTCTGCTCTAGCAGAAGCTGTCACCTCCGTTACTGTATTTGTAATTGTGCGGACCAGAGTTAATTATAAATCCAGCTATCAGTACAGAGAGGTGACAGCAAAGTCAGCACCAAAAGCAGTGCCATGTGTTTGAATATGGTCTAGCATGGCTGCTAATATTCTACAAAGTCAGGAAAAAAAGTAGGAAATAAAATTCCATGAAATGTTTCTTCTCATAGGTAAACAGAACGGAAGCACCTTGGGAACAAGGTGCTTCCTTGGGAAGTTACAGGTCCTACAGTGGTTAGGTACTAAATTAAAAAGGATAGTGATCTACATGCAAAAAAAAAAAGAGGTGAAACAAAAAAATAGAAAACCCTACTTCATAGTAACAGCAAAATAGGTAGAAAACTAGAAAAGTTTTTTTTTAAAAAAGAGCACATATCTGGTTAGCAGTTTTTCCCTACTAAATGACTCTTTACAAGCCGCAACAGGTCTTTTATCACTTTGGACTCTGCTCTCATATAAATAAGAATAATTTCATATACTAGCATTACAGCTGTTTCTCCAACACTGAACACCAGGCCAGCTCAGTTAGTAACAGTGTCACTGGGTGGTAGTAAAGATTTGCACTGGTGGACTAACTCATTTCCCATATTTATTTTCAGCAGAATCAAGTTTGTCAAAACTTGTTATTTGAACAAGACTATTTGACTCATTTTTTATATTTTTAACTAGCACCAATATTGTAGAAAACACATGACTATACATCAGTTAAAAGCACAGAATGGTAAAAGGCCGTTCTGTCTGGAACAGAGGTCTGGAAGGGACCTCTGGAAACCACTTGGTTCAGGCCTTGTTGAAAGCAGGGTTTTAATTTAGGTTATCCAGGGCCCCATCAGGCCAGATCTTGAATATTTCCATGCTGAGGAAGACTCCACAGTTCTCCAACCTATTTCACTATTTAACTCTTCTCAAGATTAATTTCTAGATATAAGAAGAATGCTTTAAGGAAAAAAATAAATCCAAATACAATAGGAGTAAACAAATAGTTCAGTAAGCTAAGAAACAGACCCTCCAATTCAACACCCTATCCTAATGGATCACACTGTCACATAGCTCATTCTGTAAATATGAAGTAAAAACTGAAATTTTGGTATTGCGAGAATTATCCACAAGAAAACTGTCTTGTCAACATCAGCAATGTAGCAGGTATAACTCTTAGAAGTTTAYGCCTGTAAAACACTAATTCCAAGTAATTACAGTTTACTATATATAAACCAACCAAAATACATCTACCTGCATTGATTATTTGTATACTATTGCATATTCTGGTCACGTTTCAGTTTCTATCCCTGCCACTGGTCACTCTGCCCTACTGAAAGCTCAAGTCATGCCAGGGTGATCCCGTTCTACTAATCCCTTCTCCTCCAGGGACCAGACTCCCTTAACTCTGKGCAATGAATAACTTGGCAATGAATTAGTTATGCAAGTTGCTTCAGCCCGCGCAGCCTGGCAAGCGGCCASTGTAACCTACACCACTCCCCCCTAAGCACACAATGTAACTGTCCAACAACTGCCATACAAACACTTGCCTCTATGACTTCCCCTTACATTTAAAGCAGTTATATGCTGCGTTACTGTAACACTGGTAAAATGCCTCTTTGTGACCATCATGCCTCTCACAGTCGGTTCATTGTTTTATATGTATATCAAGCAAACGCGCAAGTTGCGGAAATCAGCAGAATCAAAAATTCAGTGCATATCTTTAAGTGCCCGTTTTGGACATTTCCCAGGCTGCACATTCTCCCTTCATASAGCACTTGCACAGACCTTGGCTGCCCTAGGCATTCAATGTGCTCTGGGGTCCAGCAGCGCGACCTCCTACAGGGCAGGCAACCAGTTTCACAGGGAGC